TTGGGAACAAAAATCGCTTTCTCTGAGGTGAGCTGCTTTTATCAAAGGTACTACTGGATAAAAGTACTCCACGCCAAATGCCACACTTAGATACACTACACACAGTTTTTGCTTCAGTTTTGCAGGCTTGAGGCACACACACAATTTTTATGCTGAATGTATTCTCTGCCTCTTTTCCTCCCATTCTCTGTCTGCCTTCCTTCCTTCCTGGCTGCATTGTGTAATCTCTAGACTTAAAAAAACCCAAACAACCCCAAACCCACCCAAAAAACTCACTCCCTCCAACATACATTAAGTTCATGTAAACAACATCTGCTATTTCACTAAACAGGCTGTGGCACATCAGTATCTCTGCTTTTTCCACCTACCCTCTTGCAAATCACCATCTCACTACCTGGAATGAGATCACAGTTCTCTAAAGTTTTTATTTACATTTTCCTCCAGTTACTTTTGAAGTTCTTGCAATCAAGTGTTTAAGTTTTCTTTTGTGTTGTTTTTCTAAACAAAAGTTGCCTTACAGTAAGACATTTCTGAAGACAGAGTGTATTAAGAAACTTTGCAATGTAATGTAGCATCTTAGCTTTCTTCTTTGGCTTAAGCCAATATTCCAGTTTACTCCCCTTAAAGACTCACCCAGGGAAATACAGACCAATCACTAGGGTTGAATATTTTACCAATGGTTTTCTTAAATTTGGTGGGCCAAATCTCTGTGTAAGTCCTTTCATTGCCACTGAATATTCAGCTGGCCCAGTAGCATTCGATTGAAATAGCAGCTGGACTATTTGTCCTCTTTGCTTCATTTTTTTATCTGGGATTATTTCATACCAACTGTGTGGCTGTGAAGTGCTGTGGAAGAGCAAAGACAACATCCACAACCAGCCCTGACAACATGCAACTATTGACATCTCTGCCCAAAGAGCCACCTGTATGTTAAAAGCTATCTGTGTGTCACAATAAACATCAGGCACAATGTGGTAGAGAAGACTTAGCTGGGAATTAGCCCACAGGAAATCCACCAGGATAAGCATGAGGGTCAGATAATTTGGAGCCTCTTGGAAGCAAATACAAAATGCACTGTCAGGAACACACACTCAAATTTGGGTCTGGCAGAAGAAACTCCTTTTGTACTGACATCTATTAAGCATTGGATGCCAAGTAAATAAACAGGAGGAAATGTATATATATATATATATATATATATATATATACACACACACATATCAGAGGAAATTAGGACTGGCTGCAGCTACTGAAAACAAGTAGGAAAGGAAATACAACTGCAACATTAATACTGTAACAACTTGCTCTCATGAAAGGAGAGAGAAGGAGGAAGGATGTGTTATTTTACATTAGAGATGCTCATGGGATTACAAGTGACTCAATCACAGATCTTGAATGCTTACAGATTATACCTGTAGTCCAGCTAAAGATGGAGTTACTGGAACATCTCACACAGGCCCTGAAATCCAAATACTAGAGTGAGCTGAAAAACCTGCATCCGTTCTTCAAGTGTGGAAAGGAAAACAGGCTAATCACACATGCACACAGCCTGAAGGATGTTTGCTGAGAACATCTTCTAACTAAAAAAAATTCCCTGGTGTCCTAAAAAGCTGATGATTTCTTAAAATAGAAAATTCTAAACCTCTACATAGAATATCTCAATCTTGAAACTTGTTTTAATGAGTGAAGAGAGTAAGTTAATCACTTGCAGGCTACAAGCAACTTAAGTATTAATAATCATCATCTAGTCACATTGACTTTGTTTTAAAATCAGTGTATAGATTATAGCCTGGTGTTTATAGTCTGTTTTTACAATTGCTGGCATATGGGCCTAAAAAGAGAAGAGTGAGAGGCATGAAACAAAACAGAGAATTGTTTAAAAAGACTCTACTGCACATCAAAAGGCTTTTCCAAAACTGCGAGAAAGAGTTATGCTTGCAAAAAAAAAAAACATCTCAGAGAAGATAAAGAGCAGGAACATCAGAAACACACGCAGATTTTTAAAGAATAGAGCGAGCACAGACATTATAGGTAAGCAAATGAAGAAGCATAAGTAACCTGTGAAGAAGCAGAGACAAGACAGCACTGAGGACTCCTCATGGTGGTTCAGGCAGTGAAAAGGCACTTCTGAAAGCACCCATGCAGATCATGTCCATTGTTTGGTGCAGACAGTAGGATCAAAACTTATGACACTGAAGGACACGAAGGATACTGAAAAAACAGCTTTACGTGGAATTATCAGGACACAGTGTGTTGGATTAAATTCAATTCTTTTAAAGATTTCAGTACACAATTGTTAACAGAAAGGCATAAGCAGAGAGGTCGCTGATGACCATTTCCAAATTCTAGTGCCATTTCATGAGTTTGTCATTTGAGGCTGAGGCAACACGAAGCTTCTTGAACATAAAAAAAAACCCGCCACAAAACAATATAGTGCCCAATAATGAAAAGAGAAGGTTATTCTTATGGAGCATAGCTAAAGTCACAATAAAATCTTTTGCAATGCAGCCAAATCCAAGGTAGTAGCCCCAGCAAAGAACAGTTTGCAGGCTGAAAGAGGCAGACATGCTTTGAAGACTTACAGACTTAGAACTGGAACAAAGTGCTAAGTTCATTTATGTCTTTAGTGATCATCACAGACAGCTGCTTCAAAATAGGTACTCAAAGAAAGGTACAGGAAAAAATAGTCCTAGCAAGGCTTCTGTCAAAACCCTGTGCTCAGTCCTGCCAGCCACACTTAAAGAAGGAAGTGAATATAGGAGAGGGAGCTCAAAGGAAGGCCAAAGAATTGACCCCTGAGCTGGGCAAAGCAAAACAAAGCAAATCTTACATGTGAGGCTGACAGAGTTCACCCGGCTCAGTGATAAGGCTGAGAGCTGTCATGATGACTATTTAGGGCCACATTTCAAACTTGCAGATAAGTTAAGAGCTGACAGTAGGAATTCCAACCTTCATTTCCCAGTAAAATTTCCCAGTAATGTTAGGAAATGAACTATAGAACAGTTTACCAGGACAGATGGTCAACTCATTAATGCCTGAAGTTTCCAAAATGAGATTACACGTGTTTGAAGAAGACACACCCAAATCAGCTTTTAGGAAAAAAGAATATCTGTGACCTAATCGTGCGAAATGTCAGGTCAGAAGAGTATAATGACTCCTGACTGTTCTCTTAGTGTATAAATTGGAGTACTTAACCATAAAAAATGAGAAGAATCAAATGCCTCCTTCAAGACATGCTGTGGCAAACAACACTTGTAAGAGCCCCCTTCAGTATTCAACCCATCCAGATACACACAAACCCCTCCAGTGTGTCAGAGCCACTGGCACTCACCCCTAATTCAATAGCTGCTTGCATGTGTTAAATAAACACACAAAAAGACCAGGTGTCAACCTGGCACTGAGGGCACGGTTTGAACATTTCAGCAGTCACTCTAAAGAACCCCCTGGTCGATCCCTAACAAAGCACAGTTCTGACATTAGGCTAGAAAATGCCAGCAATGTTCATGTGGAAGTGGGAGATGAAATTCACTTGCTCTGTGGGAAGCCTCCTTCTTATAATGTGATATCCTGTGCTCTTGTGTCCATCATTTCTAACCACATGTGAGCTAGAATAAGGTATTCAAGAAGAGCACCTCCTTTGATGCTTGTAAATGGAACAGCAATTTTGGAATAAAAACAAAGAAAAAAATATCAAAGCAGGCATTCCCTAGGTAAGCAGGGAAAAAAATCACTTGTCATCCTCCAATAGTAATCAATTTAAAGTACATGCTTTTTCATTTCCAGATGAATGAAGGATTCTGGTGCTCTATCAAATTTTATTTACTTTAGCCCAGGAAGCATCTGATCTGCTTTAAAAACTGTGGATCAATTCTGTATTAAAAAACCATCACTCTGCCTACTCCTTCAAAGTGCTATAAAATATGCTGAAGGGAACACTGGAATATTCCCCAGGTACCATGACTGAAACAAAACCTGCATCAGAGGAACCTTTTTAGAAAAAAGCAACTATCGTCTTCCCACTCACTCCCCCCCAAGCACCAGGCAGTCTCTATGCCATGCCTTTTTTAAGTTTTCTGGTTTTAGTCAAGAACATAAACCAAAAATAAGCCACAGACTGCATGCTAAAGGTTAAGGAAATTACTGGTGGGATTGACAAAACAGAAAGTGAGATGTCCTATCTTGAAGAACAACATTTTATGTTTAGCTTAGGTTTGCCCTCGCACATGAATGTAATACTTATGGGTTGTCACTTAAATTAAGGCCAGAGTCAGTCCTTCAGCAGGCAAGCTTCTCTTCTTCCTCACCGCTGCAAAGACAAACAGCTGCACTGGAGCCTGTGTTTTTAATCAACAGTTTTCTCCTGTATTTTTCTCTAGATAGAAAATACTCGTAACCACTTCATTTCACCTGCTGTGTTTTTTAAAGCACTGTGAAGCATGCTATTCATACCACAGTGTTAAAGGGTCAGATTACCCTCACCTACAATCTGTTCAATAAATTCCACCGACACTCAAAAACCACTTAACAAAAACAAATAAGTCAATAAAAAAGAAAAGGGGAAAAAAAGTATTCAAAGCAAAATGAATTTCAAATCCAAATAATCTGAATCATTACTGACTCAGATATTGTGACAAAGTATTTCAACAAAACCCACAAAATTTTTATTCATAGGTCTTTTCATCTCAAGAGCTTGAAACAAGGATCTCACTATCTCTAAAGCTTACTTCCACAAATTATGTTATTATACACAAACTAAGGACAGAACCCCCAATTTTAGCAAGCTTTCTGGTTTGCTTCAAAAACATATGCAACATGAGACTTCAAAGGAATACCAATGTTTGTTACCAGCAAGGAAAAAAAAAAACAAACCAAACTAAAACCAAAAAACCCAAACCCTGCTAGTGTTTACTGCCAAAACACAGTTTCCCACAACCCAAATTTACATCGAGCCCAAGAATACAACACACTGGGTTTTTCCTCTGAAGCGCAAATATACTTACGAAAGGACATTCCCAATGTAGGCATAATATGAACAGCAGTAGGGAGTAGTCCCATCACAGCAGTAAGCTTTGCAGTCATTATCACACTGAGCCAGACAATCTTCTGCTGAATAAAAATAACACTCATGAGGTCAAACAGCAGCAACAATAAATGCTGTACAGCACAGCTTTAAAGAAAATGGATTCTAACAGTTTTATACAATCACAGGACTTCACTCGAGGTGCAACCTGACCCTGTAATCCTAATGGCAGCCCATTCCCACTCGTCCTGCATTTCCGAGTTAGGTGCTTTGTGTGTGGGTATCTTGTAGCTGGCCTCATCAGTTCCTTCTTATACATAATCATTTAAAATAAAAAAAGAGCATTTTGAAACGTTAAGACACCATGGATCAACTTTTTCCATTCCATCAAGGTCTTGCTGACCTGCAGGGTGGCAAGGGAGGAGAAGGAAGGTGTCTGAGAACAGGCTATGTCCCCCCCCTTCCGTTCTTGCCCAGCCCCAGCCAGGCATGCAAATTAGACTGCCTGGGGCTCCCTCACTCCCTGCCAGCTGGCAGCAGCTCCCCTGGCTCTGCTCCAGCCCCAGGGCCATGGTCAGCGTGGAGCGGCAGCACCCAGCACAGAGGCCAGTGATGCCCTCTCTGTCCCACTGCCAAAGACTGTCCTGCCCAGCTGGGGCCACGAGTGTTTCCAGCAGCAACGCTATGCTGGACTGAGGAACAAAACAAACTGTGAAACAACAGTAAGAGAGCTCTTTGCAATTAAGAAGCATGGAAGAACACGTATCTTGTTATTGCTGTTGAGAAACTATTTTAAAGGCATTGACCTCTTGTGCTGTCGTGACTCAGTGTTTTCAAAGCCCTAAGTCAGGTCCCCCCACACAGTCTTTGTGCACTGCCACTGCACTGTAAGAACACCCTTGGGGATCCCACACTTCCCACATCTCATCCCTGGTTCTTCTTCCCTGCTCTAAAGACCTCAGCTGTTGCCTGGATCAATCCAAAGAGACTCCCTGTCCTGTACACCATCACCCTTAGTGACCTATTTGGTCACACACTGCCATGACAGAGACCTGGAAACGAAGATGGCAAACTATGCTTCTGCATTCCCAGTGTGCTGTGTCTCCTGTTCCCCAGGCAGCAGCTCATTCTGCAGGGTTCCCACTCTTCCACTGCTGTTACTACCTTTCATCTGTGCTGGCCCAACTTTTAGTGTGCTGGCATCCAGGCAACCCCCCCTCATCCCAGCTGCTGCTGTGCTCCTATTCCTGCCCCACCTCTTGGTGTGAGTTCCCACCTCGCACCGAGGCTCCTTTGCTCACTGACTGTGCAGGGAATGGCTCATGCTGCTGGTCCATCTCACAGCCTGAAGCTTGCTCATGAGATTTTAGCAGGTCAGCTCTCTGAACCTGCTCATGCTTGAAAACAAGTACCAAGTGAGGGTGAGGGATGGTGAGGGCTGGAGAGGGCTGTGCAACACAGAACGTGGGTCAGCCTGTGCAGCTCTGCCCTAAAGCTGTGCGATTACCCTGGTATTAAAACAATGCATGAAAAAATGGAACAACTGATCCATCGTTCTGCCAACCACCCCCAGCAAGTGAATCGGGGCAGCCAGCACAACACCCTTCTCTGGGAGAGCCCTGCTATGAGGGAGCAGCAAGCAGGGTGACTGTCACAAGGCTTTGGCACAGCTGCCCTCGTGGGGATGCCCCATGCCAGTCGCTCCAGGCTTTTGTACTGCTACCCTTTCTTTGGGACAAGCCCTCCTGACTCCAGCCCTGGCGATACTGAGGTGCCTTCACCCTGCCCGGGCACCTCACAGGTCTTTCATGCAAGGCGCGGGTTCACAGAATCACAGAATGGGTCAGTTTGGAAGGGACCCCAGTTGGACCCATCTGGTCCAACCTCCCTGCTCAAGCACATGGCACAGGATTGAATCCAGATGGTTCTGGAATATCTCCAGTGAGGGAGATGCCACAGCCTCTCTAGGTAATCTGTTCCAGTGCTTGGTCACTCCACAGTAAAGAAGTTCTTCGTCATGTTCAGGCAGAACCTCCTCGGCATCAGTTTCTGCCCGCTGCCTCTGGTCCTATTGCTCGGCACCACCGAGCAGAACCTGCGCTCCATCCTCTTGGCGCACTCCCTTTACATATTTATACGCAATTAATGGGGCCCCCTCTTCGTCGTCTCTTCTCGAGGTTTATCCTCCCTGCAGCCCCAGCGGGACTCACGCACAGCACACCATGCCCGGGAGTGCTCTGCTGAGACACCCCGGGGAGCCTCTTCCAACTCCGGCTGCCAATTCCATCGCCGACGAGGAAAAGCCCCCCTGCCTGCCCTAAACCTCCGGCCCCCGCCGCCCTCCCGGCCACGCTCGCACCCGCTGCCCGTGCCCCCCGGCCCCGCTGACCTGCCAGGAGGAGGAGGAGGACGAGGAGGAGGAGGAGGCCAGGGGGCAGCAGCCCCCCCCGGGCGGGGCGCCCCTCGGTCCGGTCGCACCACCCCGCTCTCTCCATGCCGGCGGCGGCCGCGGAGCCGCCGCCCGCCCCGTCGCGGGGGCGGGCCGGGGAGGGTGGCGGGCGGCGCCGCGGGGACCGGGCAGGGACCGGGCCGGGCCCGCTGCCCCCCGCAGCCGCCCCCGGGACGGCCCGGCAGCGCCCTGGTGGCGACGGCGGGGCCGCCCCGTCGTGGCGCGGCCCCTCTCGCTTCCCCGCCTCCCGCCGCCTTTGTCCGGCTCGGCCCCGGCTCGGCCGGCGCGGGGACCCCGGAGTGCCGCGAAAGGCAGCGCCCGTCCTGTTCCCGCCGTGTTTGAGGGGGGTCCTCGGGTAGTTTGTGAACTGCGACTGAAACCGTGATCGTTTGTAGGCTGGGCCCGGAGACATAATGTGTTCGTAAAGGCGAGCGAGGAGCGGTGTGGGGATGGGGCACGCTGGTGGAGGGGCTACCGGCCGTGCCCGTGGTGCTGCTGCTGGCACAAAACCCACACACCTTGTCCGTGCTGCCCAGGAGTAAGCGTTTCCCATCACCAGGCCAGAACAATACTCTGAAGTGTTTTTCAAGAGTAATTTTTGATAGCCGCTTAAGTGCCCCGTGTGAGAATTCCCACAGACGGGGCCCCAGGGGCCGAAATGTTTACCCCGCGGTCTCACAAAACAAAAGGGTTCGTCTCTGACTTTGCGTGAAGAGCTGCAGGTCGAGGAATGCCTTTTGGAAGGCTGAAGTATGCACACAAAAATGAGAAACATCCACAGGTGTTTCTGCTCATAAAGGGCTTCCTGCTGCTGGCAGCTCACAGGGGAAGGCTCACACAGAAACATAAATGAATTTTTTTTTTCCGGATTTAGCTATTCTGTAATGATAACAACAAAACCCCAAACCACCAAGCCAAATCACTTGAAAGCTGGTTGTTTTGTTTATCAACGCAGTGTTTTTTCAAATGTCTGCCAGAACTTGCCTGTCAACAAAGAAAAACAACTTTACATGTTTTTAACTACCCTGCAGTGTGTATTCTTTAGTTTATGCAACAGGCCAAGTTAAATGTGTAAAAGGAAATTTCAGTTTTATGTTAACTGCTGAGAGTAAAATTCGTACCAAGTGGGGAACTTTATTTCAAAGGATTTGCATCTTCTGCCTGTGTCTTTGTCTGGTCACAGGCCACAGTTGTCTCTGGAAAAAAGCTTGAAAAATTATACAGTTTTGCCTATAGATAGTATTGATAATAAAGGAAAAGAATTTAGCAGATAAAGGAGTCTCAGATCTGGAGATAACTCCCAGAAACTCTGACATCTCCAGGTTTTTGGTTTTAAATAATTATTCTTGATCACCATCAGCCTTTTGTTGGTATTTATTTTGTGTTCTTCGGTTTTTGTTGTTGATTCCTTCCCCTCCAATCCCCTCCCCTTCACAGCTGTCTTGGCAAGTCACATTTCAGTTATTTTCCAAAAATATGGGTAAAATTGCCAGTTGTAAACTGGTGCGCTTGAATTCCATAACAATTTGCACTTAACAACCTTATGGACCTTCTGTAGTTTTTATTTTCTTCTGTCCACAGGGGACAAGTCCTTTGAACCTCTCTGACATTTCACAACCCTAATTATTACTTCCCAAGTGCTGTCCTTAGAACACACAATTGAAAGGTCTAGCTGACAAAGGGAAATACATTTTCATGTTAATGTTGAAAACAATCCATGAAAAACTTTCAATTCAAGGCTTTACCTTCTTCCTCCTGTGGATTTTTTTTGGAAGAGAGGAGGGTGTGTGTAGGGGGAAGTCACAAAATTCATCCTCTGGCATTGGGTTATCAGCCTTTAACGCATGCCCACGGGTGAGCTGGAGTAAGAGAGCCTGTTGTGGGTTGTCACAGGCCACCCAAGGGGCTGCTCTGGGACAGCTCCCAGCCCAAGTAAGAAGGACACCCAGAAGAGGAAGTGTATCCCCAGCCATGCCCATCATTCCAGCTCTACTGTGTGCTCTGAAGATGATCTGCTGGAAGAAGATGTACTTGAATTGTCTCCTACTCTGTCCCCTTTCCACTGCTCTCAGCATCATGGAACATATTTGTAGAAAGATGAAAATAGGGAGAACAATGTCAGGGCAGTGTCATCTGCTTCTGCTGTGCTGAGGTCCTCCTGGGACCAAAAACTATTTAGTGTTCTCAGAAGGAGGTTTTATTGGAAGAGTAATTCACAGCAAAGGACAATAAAAGATTAGAGCTAAGGTCCTAGCCACAATGAGACTCCTTATAAAACTGTTTCAGCACCGTATGATGGCCAAATCATCTCTTATCAGAAAAGTGTTTTGAAAGATGGTTTTCAAAAGCATGCAGGATTGGTAACATCATGTTAAGTGTACAAGCCCTCAAGGGCTAATCTTCAGGCACAGTTCATGGAGAAAATCCTGCTCCCAGTGCACTAGTGTTTTGAAACTCACTATAATCAGGCATCTCTGTCTCCAGAAGCTTAATTAGCAGTTTAGAAACAGTAATTATCACACATAGAGCACTAGAGGAAACTTAATAGAGGAAAAGGCACATTCTTAGGACAAGCATTTAAACCTCTTTACCTCTAGACTACCTCTAGAGAAATCACTTAAAAACAATTAACAGGCTATCTTATACACATGCTAAAGATGTCTCTTGTTGAACTCGATATCCTAACTGGTACAACATAAGAAACAATAAGTCTTCTACATGTTTTCCAGCATGTACCAAGCCGACCAACTTATGAGCATCTCCAAAAGAGCCTGGGCGCTCTTTGCAGCAGCAGGGGAGCTGCTGAGCCAGGTTTTAGTTCTGGAAAGAGGGGCAGCCTGCTAATCTCTGCCCATGTTGTCCTGTCATGGCATGGGGGGTAGTCTCATCTGAGCATTAACCACCTCTGAGCACCACCTTCTGCTCTAAGTCAGGAGCAGTGCCTGTATGTGCTCTTGTACCTGGGAGAAGTGTAAAAGTCACCCTTCTTTTCCTGTGGGTTCCTTGTGTCAGTGTCTAGTGGTAGGGAGTACAGCAGATACACTGTGCTTCTGATGGCAAACATCATTCCACTGTGCAGTTCATCCAGGATCTTTTTTGCTACACTGTGAAAGAACAACCAGGAGTAGCTGACAGAGGGCATACTCCAACTTCTGCCAAAATTAATGAAAGGCTTCCCAGTTGTTCTGCTTTAGCTGGGCTGGGTTTCTAATTTCTGATTCCCTTCTGTCTCCCTTTACTTATCCCAGCACTACTCAAAAATACTTAATCTTTTCTCCTCCTTTAAACAGAAAATTTTTTGCACTTCTAATCAATTTCACTGTTGCTTTGGGGTGCTCTTTCTGCTGAATCTTTTTCCGAGGGTGGCCTGAATACTAATGCAATATTTAAATGGGTTTTTAATATCAAACTCTGTCCTCCTTTGACAGAGTGCTATGTCTTTTCCTGACTACTCCATTAGTATTAGGTTTATTGTAGATTGGCATAGTTATACATACACTATGGTTGACTATAACAAAACAAAAAAAAACATGCTTGCTTTCTTTTTTTTCCAAAAATACATTGCTACTTATCTCCACACAAGCCATTTTATTATCTCCTTCAGGGTTTCTGATTTCTGACAGTATCTTTGGCACTGGAGAATTTATGGCGGAACTCCTAGAAGGGTATGAGACAATCTTCTTCTGCTCTACACAGACTGCAGGTCCCTGTCACATGAGGAATTTACTCAGCACTCCTGCCTGCTGCTGTGTAAAGCTGGCAAAAAGCAATACGCAGGAATACCATAATTCCTAGGCAGCAAACAAAATCTCGTACAGCCCTCTCAGTTATACCTACTGTGTTAAGGTAGACGGAATTTCTGCAGTATAGAGGTCATATTCTACAAAATTATTCTATTTCTACCTATGTAAAATGCATGCATTTGCCTACAGGAAGGGGAATGATGGAACACATTTGCCATTATTTCTATTAAGAACAAGGAATGTCTCAAAAATGCTGTATCCTTTCTAGTAGAGCACCAGAGAGTGATTTATAAACCTATTCTAACAGTAGGCACCTGATGAAAGGCTGAATTTCATTCAGACTTGATAAACATTATTTAAAAATACAGAGACTTGTGTGCTTTCTTGGTTTCCTTAATGAAATATTTGTTAAATAAACTAATTTGTAGTTCTTGGTGAAGCTTAGCAACAACATCTGGAGAAAATTCACTAACCACAGAAGTCTTGGGTTTAGGCATTAGCATTGAGGTTTTTTTTCTTCCAAATCCTCTCCCTCCCAATCACTTTTATTTTTTTCACTATTTGGTATGAGAATCTGAGTAATTAAATGGTCTTTCTTATATTGCTTTTGAGGATGTATGGATCAAAATCAGAAATATAAGAACTTTGTCCAAACTTATTTCTTTTTGAAACTGAGCATTAGGCATAAAACAGTCATGACATTAAATCCTTGATTGATGTGAGTTAACTGTCAACATACAAGATACCAGGACAGCTACCATGTCATCTGACTAATGCTCCTGTTTTTTTCTTTTCTTTTAAATTTTAGGGGTTTAATTTTTATAATTTCATCCTGCACATAGTTTTAGAGCACAATGATAATTTTTTGTGAACAGCATCCTTTTTTATTGTGACAGTCAGTGAGGAAGGTATGTAAGGGGATGAGCAACAAGCTAGAGATTACCAAGTTAAAATGTCTCATCAGTGTCTTTGTATTTGTTATTTTTCACATTCCTTCTACAGAACATTTTAAATAAACAGCCAAACCTTCAGTTTTGCTGAAAAGAATTGAAATAGCATGGAGAGCTTTTGTACCAAAGTATCTTATCACTCTCTACAACTCCCTGACAGGAGGTTGTAGCCAGGTGGGGGTTGGCCTCTTCTCCCAGGCAGCAAGTGACAGGAGAGGACACAGCCTCAAGCTGCACCAGGGGACGTTCAGGTTGGACATAAGGAAGAATTTCTTCATGGAAAGGGTTCTTCAGCATTGGAAGGGGCTGCCCAGGGAGGTGGTGGAGTCACCATCCCTGGAGGTGTTCAGGAAACAACTGGATGTGGCACTGAGTGCTCTGGTCTAGCTGACCAGGT